AATGATTAAAGCACCAGACGTTGCTTCAGGCATCTTTAAATATGGTGGGATGAATTTTGACTTCTGTTCCCTAAGTCTCTGGTCACAATCAGTTCTTATTTATTAAAATTGTAGGAAAGAAAAGACATGGAATACTTTGGTCATTGGTTAAATAATAGGTGTAGGATAATTTTTATCTTCCTCTTGCTTTTACTGTATTCACATAGAACTTTTCCGTGCTGGCTTTTTTGTTTCTGAAGGAAGCGTTCAGGTTTCCACCTCCAGTTGTCCTGCCAATAGATACATTTTCTTCTGTTTGTCTACTCTTTCTCTGTTCCTTGATCCTACACAAAAAGCCACAGAAACAACAGAAAAGAATGAGAACGTTTATTTTTTTTTTTAATCTGAAGAATATGCAATGTCCAAACGTGGCATCTTGAGATCAAAAAAAAAAAAAAAAACAGAACAAAACAAGAAAGCACCTGTAGGAGAAGAAGCAGAAATACAAAGCTGAACTCTTCCAGGGCCCTGAGCGACGGAGAGGCGTTTCACGGCTTTGGTGACAATCGGGACCGGCTGCAAAACGGTACGTCCAGGGAGCAGTGCTGGCGCCGCCAGAAGCACTTTCTGCCTGAATAACCTGGCTCTTGGCTGTGGCTGAGGTACCCCGTTAGCAGGTGAAAACCTAGAATTGCTGTAACTAAAGAGAAACGAAGAAAAGCAGTGCCGGGGGCGGCTCATGGTGCTCGGCGGATGCCCTGCTTCTCTCTGCGCGGCCCCCACGTGTCGCTTCGTGCCCCGGCGCAGCGCTACGGACATCGACTTTTTACAGTTTCGGAGTGCGAGTGATATCTCCGCGGGGCAGCGCTCACAGCCTGAGAGAAAAAAATATTTTTTAAACTTAAGCCAAACGTGGTTTTACAGCCAGCACTGTTGGTGGAAAGGCTCACAGCAACCGCGTCCAGCGGCGTGATTTAGACGAACTCGATTGCAAGTTGGTTGTATTCCTTCCTGCTAGCAGCACTTTTGTCCTGCAGCGCTTCTCCAGCCTTTATAGCAGAGGGCAGGCGCCCTGGCCCGACTGACCAGCGTGTACAGCTGTCGGCGGAATAAGAGGGGAAAAGGCGTCCAACTCGCTGCAGAGAGGGCACTGTTTAATCTAAATTCAATCTTTTATACGTAATCAATACCAGATCCCAGATCTCCCAGTCACTCTAAAGGGCAAATGGTGCCATTGTGAGGAAATGACACTTCCATTTATTCTGGATGCAGTTTCTTACTGCCGCGTTCAGCATCCTTGCAACGAACGTCTAGGCGCATGCCACTTCTCTCTGTTTCTCTTCCTTCCGCATTTTCTTTCCCCTGTCTTCACTCTCTGCCTGAGCCTTTTTAGTTCCTCTTTCTATTTTTTCTTCCGTGTGAAGATGGGTGTTATGGTGCTGACCGGGGCGCTCAGGGGCTTCCTCCTCTTCTCCCTTTTTTTTGGAACATCCGCGGGGCCGCGGCGGAGGGCGCCCGCCGCAGCCATCCGGGCGCCGCGGGGGCGCTCGCC